TTAAGAAAGAAAAGCAAGAACATACATGCATCGACTTTTGATTGTATATTTTCTTTTAGATTGTATATCTGCTTTGCTCATAAAAAATATATTTACTCTCTTTATTTTTATAAGTAAGAAAAAAGAAACATGTACATCTTGGTTTGCGATGAATTAGGAGAAAAAAAAATGAAAAAGGCTGAGTGGATGTCAACGTCTTGGTTTGCGATCATCCTGAGTATGCCAAGAAGTTTGCTGAAGAAACATGGGCGAAGAACAAAGATGAATATACATCTTCTCATCTGTATTTTGACCTTGATATAATCGTCGTCGTATTTGACTGACGCTATTGGATTTTGTACGCTGAGAAGGCAGCATTTGAAGAGGCAGAGAAGAAAAAAGAAGAGGAGGTACTTGCTTGACCATGATTTGTGAAGAGACCAAGGAAGATGTACATGTAAGTTATTTACTGATTCACCGGTGTATACTAAACAGCTCTATAACTTGAAATGCTTATGAATTGATTTTCTCTGCTCAATCTTTGCAGGATGAGCTGTGAGGCAAAAGCACCGTGATGTTTTGCTGACAATATGGGTCCAGAGATAGTAAGGCAATTAAGCTCCCCAAAATTTTTCCATGATCTTTTTTTATCTTCAGCTGTAGGATTTCTGTTTTAGTGGAGAACAAAATTGAAGGAAGCAATTTAAATTGTATGAGCCTTTAGAGCGAAGGTCACATTCAGATTATAAAATAGTTCGGACATTTTCTTTGCAAATATTTTCTTATATACAGACCATCGTCAAGTCCTTTTATTTCTTATTAATTTTGGCTCTAACCCACCATGGTGAAGAGTTGGGTAGGGATCTACATAATTGGCATCTAGGAGCAGAATACTTCGACATCAAATCTGCAGTCAACAATTTATTTAGCCAAAATCTTAATCTTAACTATTGCATGCTGTTTGGTGAGAATGAGTCGGGAAACAACTCCATTAAGATAGTAACAGAATGATGCTCCTTACTCTCTAGTTGGGAAAAACTACTGGGTCTTTGCCGCCGTTAAGAATAGATAGAAGCCACGTTGTTAGCCAACCTTAAACTGCGTCCACCTCACCCCTACTCCTGCCACGCGTTTCCTTGCGTGCGCAGCACGTCAATTTGGTCGCTGCTTAAATCATGTGTACTCGCAGTTTGATCCAGAATCAATCGTAAGAGCAGTGATAGGGGCACTCGCTTTCTGCACTCTCCGGCCAACACTTCCCCTTTCATTGGACCACGTAACCTTCTTTAAAGCTTTCAGCGCAACCTATCGGAAACCAAAATAACGTGGCCCAATAAAAGAGAAAGTGTTTGCCGGAGAGTGCAGGAGGCGAGTGCTCCTAGCATTGCTCTCAATCGTAAACACAACCACTAATAATGTCACAAGTTCACAGCGAAGCCACCAACACCACCACTTCTATCCTTGAGACCGCTACCTCCGCCATCCAAGGCTTCGGTTCCGTCAACAAAATCCACCAACATCCCTGCGCGTATTAACTAACCCACAAATTATTTATTTATTTCCCCATTTTGTAATTTAATCCTTTTGGTAATTAAAAGGAATATTCATCTGGAATTGCATATGTATGTAGATTCCATTTCTACAGTAACGACATGACCCGTTAAGTAGAGGCACACCACTTCTGCGCCCATCAGAACAAAGAGATGCGGCAGTGCTTGATCTACGACGGCCCCAAAAAGGACGCCCGTCTCATAGGGCTGGAGTACCTGATCTCGGAGAACCTGTTCCTGACGCTACCAGACGAGGAGAAGCCACTGTGGCACTCCCACGGGTACGAGGTTAAGAGCGAGGTGCTGTTCATACCGCGAATCCCAGGGCTCATCCAGAGGCAGGACATGGAGAAAGTGTGCAAGACTTATGGCAAGGTTTTCCATTTCTGGCAGGTGGACAAGGGCGATAATTTGCCTCTGGGCCTGCCTCAGCTCCTGATGGCCCTCACCAGAGAATGTCAGCTCTACGATGAACTCGCCAAGAGTAAGCCCACTCTTCTTTTCAACAATTTATATTTTAAGTAATTTTAATTAAAGTGACATTTTTCTTGAATTGAGTGTTGAAATAAATAATTTTTCAGTTGCAACTAAAAAATACATTTTTATAATAATAAAGTGTGATATGAATATAGATGCGGAAAAGCAGTTGGGGATATCTTTGGCTGAGGAGAGGGGGAAGCGAGAATACATGAAGGGGCCGACGCATGGGCTTCATCTGTTGGCTAGCGGTGGTGGGAAGGGCCGAAGGGGCTTAAAACGGAGCTGAGGGAGACGGAGTAGTGCAAGCCTGCTGATTCTGTTCCTAGAGTCTTTGTTTAGAAAGTGAATCTCGATGGAGTACTACAATAGTTCCCATCAAGTTCAAGGGCATTGCTTTTTAACCAGAAACAGTGTTGTAGTTGTAGAGCTATTTCTCTAATATGATATCTACTGTTAGCTATATGATTTAGTGGTAGTTATTTGGACTCTTAGTTACATAAATAGTTATATAAATAAATTATTTAATTTAAAACCTGTTTTGTATAGTAGTTAAAATTTAATAGATAACGGGTAATGAGTAATGGATAGCAATGTGTAGCAAGTGACAGTTAGTGAATAACAGATGATAGATAATAGAAAGTGAATAGCAGATAGTAAATAACGGATTCAAATAAAATTATAATAATATAATCATACACTAATTTTTATTTTTAATAAAAAATTATAT